CTTTCGAGTTTCCTGAAATGGAGATACAACGGTCTTACGTGTGGAGTACTGAACTAATCTGGACATGCATGTATAGAATAACGGTGAAGCTGTTAAACATATGTTAAAACGACGGTAGTTTTAGATTGCTTTCGACTTTTTTTGTTGAAAGGATCCATACTGAAAAATTTGGACAAATCTCCTATAGACTCGATTTTCTTGAAATGATCTTCCCATCCGAACACATCAACATCAATCCAAAACTATCATAGTTTTATTCGGCGTTCGTCATTATGTTTATAATGAAAAAAAAATTGTTTTTTTTCATTATAGTCAATTATATTATCTTCACTTAATCTAACAATTTCTATTCATAATGTCAATGATAATAATCCAGAATTTTTAAGTAAAAATTTAACAACAATTCTTTATTTATCTTATCCATCATTAAATACAATTATTCATACAATTGAAATAATTAATAAAGATCAATTAAATTTAAATATTGAAATTCTTAATGATACATATTCATCATATAAACTTCAAACATCATTAAATATTACTGAACTTATTCTAATTGATTCAATTAGTATTGATCGTGATGATAATCTTATTATTCGTTTATGGAATAATAATAATAATAATAATAAATCTTATTATATGGATTTATATATTCGTTTAATATATGTTCAACATTCAATTGATTATCCAATAATAATTCCTCAAACAATTGATGGTTATATAAATCTTGAAGAAAATATTTCTTTAATTAATTTTGGTCAATTATTTATACAAAATCAATCGGATTATAAATTTATTTATTTTAATTTAAAATTACATGAACATTTTTATCTTAAACAATTATCAAATCAACATATTGAACTTTATTATAATTCATCATTACAAAAATATTCTCAACAACAACAAAAATATCGTTTATTACAATATCAAATTGAATTAAATGTTATTGCTATAAATCAATCTATACCAGAAATTGATTATTCTCATAATACAATAATTCATTTTACAAAAAATACTTATTCATTAT